TAAGAAATCAAGTGAGACACTTTAAAAATCACGTCATTTGAGTAAAAACCACGGCTAGCCAAGTTTACGCCGTTTTGCGTGGTTTTTGTCAAACGACTAAAAGCGAGAGATGGTTTTCAAGGTGTTTTTGTTGGAGAACCGTTTAAACATGCCAAAGAGTGAAAGCAGATCATAAAATGCTGAAAACCACTTGGTTGGTTCGGATGCCAAAAACCAAACCCGACAACCGAAAGCCGAACGCTGGTTCCTGAAAGCCGAACACTGGATGGCTTGGTTTTTGGTTTGGGCGAACACCAAGCGGTTTTTTAATGACTTAAACAAGTTTAAAACCATTTTTATGATGTATGAAATGCAATGAGAGTTTTTAGCCTAAAGAGCCAAAGTGTAAAGATTGGGTCGGTCTTGATCACAATAAAGACCGACTCAATACTATGATTAAGGTCTTCGTTCTTGATGTTCGTTTAGCTCTTGCTCTTATCTTCATTCTTCGCCTTGTATATTCAATGTTTGACTTGATCACGGCGGTTTGGCATTATCAAAACCTGTTACAAAAACGAACACGGCTTTAGTACTAAAACGTGACAAGCCCGTGTTTCAACATTCCAAGGATAGCGTTATGGATGTATTTGATGTCCACAACGATAAACCACATCTTTTTACACATGGTTTTGTCCCCCGATCCCAATTCGACCGGTAGGACGATTGATCCTTCAGCTTCCACGATGTCTCCCGTGAAGCCTGAGAGAGGCGTTTTCAAAGGTTCACGTTGTGTCCTACATAACCTGAGCTTCTGAAAAGTTTCCAAGTACAGTATGTTGACACTGCTGCCTGTGTCAACTAATACCCTTGCAAAATTAACCTCGTTGATGTCCATGGTGATGACCAAAGGATCATTATGGTCATCGCCGGTGGTTGGAAGGTCCCGGTCGATGAAGACGATCGGTTCCCTCCTTGTCTGTTTCCGCCTAACCGGGTCCGCATTGACCTCTCCGACGTAGATGATCCGCACCTAGTCCTCGCCCTCCGGTCCACCAAAGATCATCCCAATGTGTTCTTTTTCTGGAGCCGGCCTTCACTCCCTTTGCCGGTCATTTCCTTGGGCTTCCAGCCTTACCCACTGGTGGTTCTTTTCCTGGGCCTTTTGCAAATACTCCTTGCCTAGTTCTCCACTGTCAATCATCCGCCGGATGACTCTTTTAACACTTTTGCATTCTAAAGTGTTATGGGAATCAGATTTATGGTACGGATAATACATGCCCGACCATTGATGTCCCAGGTTACCGGTAGATTGATCAGTGCCTTCGTAACTTCCTGGAACTCTTACATATTGACCACTCGAATGACCGGGTTATAATGATGCCTTGGCTTGCTGGGTCCCGGCGCATCTTTCTTCTTGATTTGCACCAGCTTGGGTTTGAAACCGTGTTCAACTTCTTTCTTGGCCTGGACTTGGGTCTCGGCCTCAGCAAATTCCCACGCCGTGTGGTAGGCCTCTTGATATGTGGCCGGGGGTTTCCAGCAGAACTCTTTGTATAGTTCTCTAGCTCGCAGCCTGTTCAACAGGAGAGACAAGACTGTCTTGTCATCCATTTCTTCGACTTTTTCCACCTCTTCCTTCCACCGGGTAAGGAATTGAGTAAGGTTCTCAGACTCCCTTTGACCGGCTGTACAAAGGTAGGTGAACTTCTTCCTCTTTGTACAGTTCTCCTGGAATTTGGCCTTGAATTTAGAGGCCATTCTGTGAATGAGTCAATGCTCTTTGGACGGAGTTTATTGAACCATTCCGTGGCCCGATTTCGCAAGGTTTGGAAGAAAAGATTTCATCCGTGCACCCATTCATGGCCGCGCTTTGATTGAAGGAGTCCAAGTGAATTTCGAGATCCTCCTTCTCGGTGAACCTTGGTGCGTTCACCTTGACCTTCCGCGGGAATGGTCTCAAGTGGACCCTTGCAGTGAATGGAGAACCAGCTAGAGGTTTTTCCTGGTCATTCTTCTCCCCCACTTTCTTCTCCAGCCTTTCCAGCTTCGCCTCCATCAGTTGGATGCGATCTCCCAGGATAGTCAGCCGATTCCTCTGGTCTTAGGGTCTTACCCTTCTTCTTTTTGTGGGTTCTAGGAATGTCTCACTCATTGTCATCACTCTCAACAGAGACGCAATGACCATCAGGAGTGCTTTAGGGTGGTGAGCGTTCTAAGGAGGGCGTGATGAACCAACGATGTTGAGTGCGCCGGTCAAGTTGATAGGGGCCACAACACTTACCACCTGTGGCTGTAAAGGTGATGGCTGCGGAACCGGTGTCTGGAAGGGAGACACTGCCATCGAGGCTTGTAGTGGCATCGTTCCAGTGCCGGGTAGAGCAAAGGGGAACATACCCGGGAGTAATGGCATTCCTCCATTCTGTTGACACATGGCCATGACCTGGCCAAAGCCCTGAATAGCCTGCAAGTTGGCTGGGTCGTTCAAAAATTGGGTCATGTTTTGAGGAAACGTGACCCTTGGCCCAGCAGAAGGGACGAGGACTACGAATGGCGCAACCATGCTTGGTGTAGGGATGGGACTCAAACTCATCGACATCACAGATGCTGAATTTGCCGGTTGAGGAACAACCATGGGGATGATTACTCCCTCAGTGGTGGCTTGCAGCGGGGCAGAAGTAGCGTTGTTCAGCTGACTTGAAGACATTCTCAAAGTGGTGTTTCGCGAGTTGGTTTGTGTATGGACGAGAAAAGAAACCTTAACAGTCCCACGGTCGGCGCCAAAAAATGATGGTGTAAATTACCTAACCGAGTAAACAATACTAGACCGGGTGTAGGATTGTTTACTAGATTCACGAAAGTAAGTGGTAAAAACACTCTAAGTAACTAGGAGGATTGTAGGTGAAAATATCTGTAGCCTAATTAATATTTCGAATATAGTAGAGTGCACGGGAGCTTTTACACGGGAGTTTAGTGAAAACAAATCGAATCTTTTCCTTTGAGGGTTACACAGGCATTTATAGTAAGTAAAAGAAGACAAGGGCCGCACATCCATGTCAAGGCACGTTTCTGAGTGGTGTGAGGTGATTGCCTCTGTCCTCTAGTTATCTTGTCACCTAGTGAAGAAGGTGGCTTCTTTGTCGTGTAGTATTCTGGATGAATTACTCAAGTATCTCCAATGATTCTCCGTTGAACATGGTCGCTACAACCAAGCTCTTTTGGATTCTTCTTTGCCGACACTTTCCAATCCTAGAAACCATACCGGGTGGTTTCTAAGGGATGAGTTTATTGAAATTGGAGATGAACGATAAAAGAGAGAATATATTATGCATTCAACTCTCATACATAATCTATTCATAAATCTGCCAATAAATTATGTATTTTAAAAAAAATTAATTTCTAATGATGAGCATATTCTACAGATTTTCATTAACTTTTCAAACCAATGACGTTTTTCTATTCACATAGGGGAACACAACATATTTTCAATAAACCAACAATTGTTTACTGCACTCAAAGAATCTCAATTTTAATGAAAATAATAAACAAAAAAATAACATAAACATTCACAATAACGAATTTTAAGGAAAATGCCCAAGATATGGGGCTAAGAAGTACATAAACCTTTAAAATAACAAGCACAAAGCACAACAAAGAATCACGTATAAATTTGGAATTCATTTAACTATATTATAGAGCTAAAATAGCTTCAACAAAAACTGAGTTCTACATACCAACTTACTTATGAAATTGAATTAACAATTCAACCAGTTCAACCACTTAGACAAAATTGAAGAAAACTAGCATAAATCAGTTCTCATTTATAAGGGATTTAATATAAATATTCAAAGAAAAACAAACACCCAAGCAAATGAACACCAACCATTATTTTTTTGGAATTTTCAAAATTTTTAAACATGAACAAACATACAAAAACAAGAAATATTTAATAAAAAACAACATTTTTACAATGTAATAAACAAGAAAATTGAAATATTAAAGGAATGATTTCTGGGTTTAAGCCGGAAGCCATTTTACTTGTGTACATAAAGTAAAAGAAGAAGCTAAAAATGAAGCCTTGAAGCTGCTAGTCCATCCCCCTCTGTGGCATTGCATTTAGTTTTTCAATTTATAGCTGGAAGAAAAAAAAAATTCGTTCCCAATTCAAGTGCGGGATCCTTTGTTGCTTAATGAAATTAATATATATATATATATATATATATATATATATATATATATATATATATATATATATATATATATATATATATATATATATATATATATATATATATATATATATATATATATATATATATATATATATGGGATTGACTCCAGTGAGATGACACCTTACGGTGAGATGACGAAAAGCTCACAACATTACACTGTAAAGCTCACCAATGGCTAATGTAAAGCTCATCTAGAAATAAAGCAAAGCTCACCACTTTGAACACCAAAACTCACCTTTTTTAATTTTGAAAAATAAAAAAATAATTAAAAATAAAATAGCAACACTGGTCAACCACCGGTCAGCTGCGGCTTGTGATGGTCAACGGTCAATGGTCAAAGTCTAGTCAGCACCCTTTCCTTTGTTTTTTTTCAAACAAAATTCAAAATGTTGAAAAAATATGGTGAGCTTTGTAATTGTCTTTGGTGAGCTTTGCAGTGGCCAGTGGTGAGCTTTGCGTCATCTAACCGAAGCATGTCATCTCACCGTAAGGTGTCATCTCACTAGAGTCAATCAGTATACACACACACACACATATATAGATTGACTTCAGTGAGATGACACCTTATGGTGAAATGACGCAAAGCTCACTATACTACATACACTACAAAGCTCACCAATGGACAATGCAAAGCTCACCTAGAAATAAAGTAAATCTCACCACTTTGAACACCAAAAATCATCTTTTTTTAAATTTTGAAAATTTAAAATTAATAAAAAATAAAAAAGCAACACCGGTCATACCACCGGTCAGCGGCGGCGGTTGCCAGCGATCGGCGGCGGCGGAGCAGCAGCGGATTTTGGCGACCGGCAGCGGATTCCGGCGGCAGGCGGCGGCGGTCAAAGGTCGCGGTCAACGGTCAAAGTCTAGTCAGCACCCCTTTCATTAATTTTATTTTTTCAAAAAAATTCAAAGTGTTGAAAAAATATGGTGAGTTTTGCCTTACAGTTTGATGAGCTTTGTAGTTGTCCTTGGTGAGCTTTGCAGTGGGCAGTGGTGAGCTTTGCGTCGTCTGACCGTAGTATGTCATCTCACCGTAAGGTGTCATCTCACCGTAAGGTGTCATCTCACTGGAGTCAATCCCATATATATGTATGTGTGTGTGTGTGTGTGTGTATGTTAGTTGCGATAAAAATATTTTCCCAGAAGAATTGTTTTATATAATTGAATTTTGGGTTGTTTTATAAATAGTCTGATTTTGAAACTAATCACGTTTTTAGACTCCGATTAATCACATTTTTGAAATATATTTCCTAATACTTTTAATTTTCAGGCCACCAGAGGGTGCAGAACCAAAATTAATTAGTTAATTAATTTTTCAGTTTTCGTGGTATTATACTAATATACCCTTTAGCTCAAGAATAGAATTCACATAATTAAGTCTTAGTGGGATTGACCTCAACCTGTATTTTCCCTGTTACGGTTCATGCACTTATAAGTAATTTAAAATAAATCACAAGATTTTAGCTAGTGTCGTTGTTAGGGACTTGAAAAGATCATTGTTACAAATAGATGTTTGTTGTTTAATTTATAATGATATTGTGTACATAGTGAAACAAAAGTACACAAGTTGAAGATGTACATTCTGTATAAAGTAAGCTTTGGGGTATTTAATAAAATAGTATGAACCTCATCTGAGAAGGGACGTCCTTGAAACTAGCCGGACATTGGAGGTAAATTGAGTTGTAATCTTACACATTGGCAGAATTCAATTTTTTTTAGCATTAGTGAATAAGTAAATACATAATGTTGCACTTGTAGTGGACGAATAGGATCAAAGTCTCAAATTTGGCGGATAAGCACAATTCGCCGGGATCCATCCTATTGAATTCTTTTCGTTGTCATAAATCACCATTTTATCTTGCATTGATATATCTGGAAAAAAACACAAAACCGAAACAGAAGTATTAATTAGGACCAATGCATACAAGGATAATTATATTAGCTATCATTATTTGCCATGGCAATATATATTACCTCCGATTATATTAGTATCGCCTACACCTTGTTCGGTACCGTTTAGCACCCCCAAACAGACATTGCCTTTAGGCTACATTAAGATTATCGAGTTTAAATTAATGTCAAGTGATGAAATTCACAGTAATAATTAAAATGGCCAGATTCAATTAAATGGTGAAAGTTAATGAAGAACACTTACAGAGATGATAAGATATGATTCTGGTGAGATTTCAAAATAAGAATAAGGATTATTCCACAAATGCCACCAAGGATTGGCAAAGCCAAGTGAAAAAGGTTTGAAGTATTGTTTGACATCCTGCAAACTTTTGAAAGGCTTATTATTTCCCTGCTTCCAGCATAGTGGGAGGGTATTGTCGTCATCTACTCTGCTCAGGGGCTTCCCACTTAGTCCTTTCTCCAGCTGTACGTATACACAAATGAGTGATTTAAATTAAAGGTTGTGACATATCAAATAAATAAACAAATAATCTGCATATTTGTGGAAGGCTGCTGGCTGGCTCACCAAAGAAATTAAAGTTTGGTATGGGTGAGAATGTAGATAGCTAAAAGAACTCCCACTGTCAAAGGTTACATGAAGATTCTTAACATTTGTACGAGTACCATCAAAAAACAGCTCTGCAGGTCCAGGTGAGTAGTGCTTCCTGTGTCGCCGTCATATGTATCACTAGCAGTGAGCACTTTGATTGACAAGGAAAAAAATTTTGGAACAGAAAAAAAAAAGAGCAAATTTTTTTAGGGAGCATATATTATACTCCCTCCGTCCCAAAAAGAATGAGACGGTTTGACTTTTTGGGAAATTAAGGAAGGGATATTTTGGTATTGACTTTCCAAAAATACCCTTGATGTGATGGGTAAAAGTAGGATGTGATGGGTAGATTATTAAAAAAAGGTATGATGTGATAGGTAGGGTGTGAAAAAGTAAGGGGTAAAAGTGGTTTTTTAATAGAAATGTAACGGACTTTACGGGACGCAGTTTTTTCTAAACGTAACAAACTTTTTGGGACGGATGCAGTACTTCCTCCGTCCCTTAAACATCTCCCCCTTTTTTCTTGTTCTCCCCAAAAGATGTTCCCTTGTATATTAAAAAACACTTTTACCCCCCTACTTTTTAATACCCTACCTATCATATCATACTTTTTAACTAATAATCTATCCATCACATCTTACTTTTACCCATAACATCAAGGATATTTTTGGAAAGTCAACACAAAAATATCCTCCCTTAGTTTCCCAAAGAGTCAATAAGGGAAACCCCTTCAGGGACGGATGAAGTATGTATATATGTGAAGAGTAAGAAAAGTTACTTGAGGTCATGCAACATTGGAGTCCAAACTACATGTGAAGTTGAAGCATCATAGGCTTGATCTCCAAAGAAGAGAAATCCTCCTCCTTTCCCACTCAAGCAATGGCCAACAACATTACGCAGCACACCCATTTTTTTAAGCTGTGACAAAATGCTGGTGGGTCCTTTCCCAAGCCCAAGTACTCCATCTACAGGATGGTAAGAGTGACCAGCTTCCTGGTCATACCCACATCTATTTATACATACGTATTAACACCGCCAACAAATTAAAATGCGAGTTACGTTGGTGTATTATACGAATGATAAGGGATCTAACATTGTAACATAGCGTGCTTACCCTAAGGCTAGAGGGCGTTCAGACCTATTCCCGTTGGTGAGATTAAGGGAAAAAGCATCTCTAAGGAGGATTCCGAGGGAAGAAGCGCCATCTGCATACTCAATTTCATAGTCACATTGTTTCGGTAGCTCATTTTTTTGTTCACTTGACTGCCATGAATAGCAAAGAGGGTCCTCTGCACTCACTAGCAAGTCTTTATTGGGCTTATATAGCGGGTGAGGTGCCTGCAATCCCACAAACATAGAAAAGCTAGTGGTGGATATTATATACAACTATGTACTTCTTAAGTCCCAGATTTATACTCCCTCCGTGCACAAATAAACTTCCGGTTACGTGTTATGATGTTTGACTGAAATTATTTTCAAATCATTTTATATGAAAAATGGTGTAAAATTTAAAAAAAATTACATATTAAAAAACTATATTAAAAGATCTACAAAACTAGAGGTGACATGCCTATATTATTTTATCAAATGGATGACGAAAATAGATCAACAAAGTGAATAAAGTTTGACCTTGTGAATAGTGAACGGGAAGTTTATTTGTAGACGGAATGAGTATTTCCTATTTGTTTCTCTTTCTCGCTAGATGTATGGTTGCGAAGAATCACATGCGGAAATCTATATAAGAGACTTCAAGGTGGATATTCACTTAGGGCCCTCTTCGAAGATGCGGGTCATATCTGACAAAATTGAGACTTCGGGGTCTCTTGTGGATGACACTCGCTCTAGCCCTCCAACGATTGAGAATGGAGTGCTTCAAACCTCAGAAGAGATTCAAAGATAAACTTTTAACAAAGCGTCACCCTTATTTTCTTCCATATTTATCCTCTGCTCTAACAAGTAGACCTGGCAAAATTGATCTGAACCTGGTAACCCTAATCGAATAACTCAAAATCGAATCCGATATGACCCAAAAACTAAAGAATCGAAATAGAACTGAACATCTGAAATGATTCAAACCGAACCGGATGGGATCATACCCGATTCAGATCCGAATTTGATATCACCCGAACCGGTTAAACTCGAAACCGATTAGACCCAAAATTGATCAAATATTCAAATTCATTAATATTTAATTTATTAAATGAATTTCGATCAGAAAAATTACCAATATATTTTTAGGAAGGAAAACTTTAGAATGTAAACAATTGGTCAATTATATATTTTTTATGTACGTCTGTGTTAAATAATAAAATAACTACGGAGTATGTCATAAATTGACTAAATTCATTATGTCATATTATTTATTTATTAGTATATATATTTAAAATATACCCGAACTGATATAAGACTAAACCGATATGAATCTGAATCGATATAAACCCGAACTGATACAGACCCCAACCGAAACCAAACCAAAACCGAAAAATAATCAAACCGAAATAAACCCAGAACTAAACTGACCCAAACTGAACCAGCCCGAACCATTTATATCATATATCCGAAAGAGACCCGATTGTTGGTCTACTAACAAGTACCGGATTTATAAGTCAGTGATGTTGGTGGAGCTCTGAGCCGAGTTCCAGGGAGAAGCTTATGAACTGGTTTGCCAAGACGAAGGCTTTCATTTCCCAACCTATGATTCATAAGGTGAAGTGGCAGATGGAGTATATACATAAAAGATTAGAATAATTTTGGGAGTAATGATGTTATTAGTTATTAAATTAATTAGGGAGTAATACTATAAATTTACGTATTTTTTGGAGTATTAGTGTAAATTGTTCTTAAAATTAAAACATGGTAAAATGAAATGGATCACTTAAAAAGTATATATATATATATATATATATATACACACACACACACACACATACATATACATATACATATACATATACATATACATATACATATACATATACATATACATATACATACATATATATATATATATATATATATATATATATATATATATATATATATATATATAAGGGCCGGTTCAGGTGAGAATGCACCTTGGTGAAAGAAATAAGAATAAAATCTAGTCTTTGGATTTGATGCATCGTGCGGCTCAGATTGCATCCTGCACTCAGAGTTTGAGATAGTGCATTTTTAAGGGATTTTGGTGCATTTCGACATGATGCATTTTCAAACCATTTTGGTGCACATAATTTTGATGCAATCCTGACCCTTAGATCTCACAATCTAAAGCACTAGATTCATTCTTATTTCTTTCATAAGATTGCATTCTCACCAGAACCAATATATATATATATATATATATATATATATATATATATAGGTGTTTTGGTTTTTTGTTACTCATTCGATTTAAAAAATATTGTTATACATCTATTGTCTTGTAAATTTTAGATTATAGTTATTTAAATATTACTCCATATATTGGAGTTGGGTAACAACATATTTGCTAGGGGTATAAACGGATATTAATCAGATCGGATGTGTCATTACAAAATCCGTATCCGTTTATTTTTGTCGGATATCGAATTCGGATACGGATCTTGACAGATATTGAAAATCAAATCGTATACGCATCCGTCGGATATCGGTCGGATATCGGATATATCCGTATCCATTTCCAATTTTTAAAATCAAATTAAACAATACTTAAATTTTAAAATAGATTAGAGTCAAATTAAACTATTATTAAATCAAATATAATTTGTTATGGGATAATTATTTTCCTTGTTTTCATAATTTATGATATTCTTTTATAACTCCATATGATAAAAAGATATACACAATACACATATACACATATTTTTTATATGTTGCACATATTTTTATGTGTCTACACATTTATTTTGTGTATAAAAATATTTAATACTTTGAAATATCAATAAAGAAACAAAATATAAACATAAAAAATTATTAGGAAAAACTATATAGAACGGATCAGATGTTCGGATAAACGGATCGGATATACAATTACCAAATCCATATCCGTTTAGTAATCAGATATCCTTAATCGGATACGGATAATATCCGTTTAAAACGGATGCATATATTTGCTCTTTATACAGATACGGATGCGGACGGTAATCAGATTTTCGACTATCCGTTGACAGCCCTAATATTCGCTCAAGTAGTTTCTACTTGACTTATTTACTATTCTAAAAGTCAATTTATATCTTTCTTTCTTTGCCATTTTGTTACTATTTTTTGTTACTAATCTAATCTAATGAGTAACAAATAATCAATACACCGTCCATCTTCACCCTCCATTTCTTCTTTTATTTTTATTTCTATTTTTTCCATCTTGCTTTTGTATGGTGGGGATGGGGTGAGGTACAAATTGGGTACACTATTTGGTGTACCCCTAGCATTTTTTATTGAAAAAGGATTAACTATTTGTACACAAAAATTTATACCTTATTTTGTACGCCAAAGACATGCACCAACATTTTGTGTTAGTGTTATGTTAATGCGATGATTTACATTAACAAAAAATATTAGTACAAATTTTTTTGATTGAACCAACATTTTTTACCTGTGTGAAACGTTAAAATGTCAGTGCATTTATTTGGAGTACAGCTAGCATGGTTGATTAAAAAAACATACTCCGTAGTTATGTGTGAAACGTTAAAATTCTATTGTTTTCTAACCTTTTATATATCTTATGCATATTTAAATTTATTTTTTAAATTTACTTACAGTAGTTTCTTAATAAATGGATCTGAAAATAATATTTTTAAAACATCGTACACTGAAATCGATCAAGTAATATGAATAGATGTAGGTGTGTTGGTTTTTTGTCGTTACTCATCAGATTAGATTTAAAAAATAGAGTTATATATCTATTGTTTTGTAAATATTTTGATATACTCTATGCGTACACTGAGTAAAATTTTTTGAATTTTTCGTTGATTTTCAAATAAATTGAATTAAAAGTAATTTTAGTAAAATGCATTAAACTGAAATTGATCAAGTAAAAAAATCTCATGAAGGTACCTTAGTTTTTGAGAAAGAAGTTGAAAAAACATTTCTTATGCCAAAATAGGAGAGCGAAGAAAATTTTAAAAAAATCAATTTTCTAATATGGCATTGACGGTTCCACACTTGATTAAAGAAATAAAAACAAAAAATTCAAAAACGAAGAAAGAAAAAAGGAGTTTTGGGGAAAATTAAGCTTAAATTATAAAGGAAAAGTGGAAGTATAATAACTTTGTAAAAGATAAATGGGGTAATTAGTCATAAGTATTCGACATAATCATTAGTCCACATCTTAGGAAAATAGTAGAAAGGTATCTATGCCTTCTTATAAGAGAAGTTTTCTTCATTAGTAATACATTGATATTATAATAATTAATTATTATTATTATAATTTTTGTTGTTATGTTTCTATGTTTTTAATGACCATTCATAAAACAAAACATTTTTCACTACTTATCTTGTGTTGAACATTTGATATAGTTTTCAAATATATAAGTTAATTTTTTTATTTCTGTATCAATTTGTAAATAAATTAAATTTGAAAAAACAGATGATTTACGGTGTTTTTCGAATTTTGTAATCTAATTTAAGAGAGAGGGAATATTAGTTATTCTTATTGGATATAGCTGATATCAGACCACATCAAAAACATCTTTATTAATAACTAGAATAATATCAAATCAGATTAGATAAGACCAGATTAGATCACACTTTAGTAAAATCAGATCAGGTCCAATCATGTCAAACGAAGAAAACAAACTCATACTTTGTAACATTTTTATTTGAAGTATTTTTGAATTTTGACTATATTATAACGTACTCCATCCGTCTTAAAAAATACGAGAAAATTAAAAATTTATAATAGTAAAATCTAGAAAAAGTTTTAAAATAGAATCTCTTATTTTTATTTTCAAAATAAAAGTTTCCATGCCACTAATTTTAACATATAATACCAAAAAATATTGTGTAATGCTAATATACAGTGCTACATATTGTAACGATGCAAATTATTATCTTGAGGATAATAGCTACGGAGTATATATATATATATATATATATATATATATATATATATATATATATATATATATATATATTATAGTCCTATTTTGAACACGTTTTTTAAAAACATTTTTTATTTTGACTCTTAATAAATTTTAAGAGATATTTTTCTATGTGCTTTTTTTAAATAAACTTATTATATGTGATGAGTAAAACAAAATACACTCGGTAAGATTGTGATATAAGCTAAGGAATGAGTGAGAAAAAAGAATTTAATTACCTCCAAGCAATTACTGCAGGGAACATCACACTGAAGCCAGGTGAGATCACTGCCAGTGTCGGGATCAAGAAAATAGGGCTTTGGTGGCTTCCCTATATAGACTTGAGCATAATAATAGCTGTGCAACACACATTTTAGCCCCAACAATCAACTGATGATGAATACAACTTCATTTTTGTTTCATTAAATTAAATATTGTATAGTACCCCCGGACGGAGTATTATATACTAAATCCGTCTCAGTGTATTTGTCTTGTTTGACTTTTTTGAGTCAAGCTAGACAAACTTCAATTACTCTCAATTTATATTACATATTAGCACAAGGAAATACAATTTTGAAAGTTCTCAATACGATAAATCCAATAAAGTCATTTTTATGTTAAAATACATTATGGTTTTTATTTAATTGAAGCTCAAAATTTGTCCGGTTTGACTCGAAAAAGTCAAACTGTACAAATACACTGGGACGGAGTATTATATATTTATATGTGCAAAGATGCAACAGTCCATTAAAAAGTACTCCCTGAGCTTCTGATGAGTATTTGTTCACTTTTGACTTTTTACAGTCAAATTAAAACAAACTTTGATCACAAATTAAATAAAAATGACATTAGATCTTGTTACAAAAAATAATTTAATTAGATTCATTTTATGCAATATTTTCAAAATATTAATTCATCTATTTAATATATACAATATATTATTTACTTAACTATAGCCCGAAAGTTAAAAGTTATTAAGTGCAAAGAGTCAAACCTACACAAATATCCAGAGAGGGAAGTAGTATTACCCTTTGGGATGAACATTGCCTAGCAGTGGGAAGACAATAGAAGACCCAGAAGAAGAAGAGGAGGAAGAAAAAACTCGCCGGCCGGTGGTTTTCCACATTCTTCCTGCCGCCGGTGAAACTGACAACACCGCCAGAAGCACCAGAACAGCCACCTTTGCTCCCCCCATTTTTTTGTATTGTGGAGGATGTGCTTATACGTACGGTGTATTACTTATTTAGCTATATATGTATTGTTAATTAGGGAGTATTTATTAAGTAGTAGAAGAATATAACCGAATCAACTGATATGTCGTCGAATGTTCGTCGAACTTACTATTAGTCAATATATCCTAAAGTCAAGTCATGATGCATTATGAGATAAATAGAGTACAAAATATATAAAGTACATTACACATTTACACTTTATACTACGTGGTAAGTATTTAATGGGGTAAAGTGTTTACAACACATCTACTCTCGCCCTTTTCTTCCTTTTTTCATCCGTCTCAAAAAACTATTTTCAGTTTCATTAATAGAAATCACCTTAAATAGTACTAAAACATAGAGAAAAGTACCAAATTAAAATTTTCATGTTTTTTTCGCGAAAGAGAACTTTGTACTTTGGTAATGTGACTTTGCTCTCTTATAATGTGGCAGTGTACATGTGCAAATTAGTGAAATTACTATACTTTTTTGGTAATGTATATGGCCATGTATAATAATGTAAGTCCTATTTTGGGAATAAAAATATGGAAGTCCTATTTTGGTATATTCTCAATGTTTTAGTCCTACTTTTGTCTTTCTCCCTTTCATTAAAAAGTAATCTTTACCCTTATTAATTCTATTGCGTAAGGCTTTTATGAATAGCAGACAAACTTTTAACGTAATTTTAGTTCAATGCGTAAATTTTATTTCCTATCACATATATACCCAAACTTGCATAAATTTTTCACCGATGGCCTTTTAGCCAATTTCAAAGTCATCTCCCAATTATTTTAAACCATATTATAATCTAAATACTTTTGTTTTTATATTTTTACCCAATTTCACTATATGAAAAATAATATTCTGTATTTAATTTGAGTACACAACCTATAGTTAAAATAAGAATAATTAACTCTCATTAAAACATTTTAAGGAGAGAATTCTGACCGTCTTTAAAGTGATCTTTTTAGGAAGAAAATTTCAACCATAAATACAATTAATAGTATTTAACATTCCTCACATTTATTAATTTAAAATATACAATCAACTATATATATTTTTAAAGTTTATTATTAAAAGAGATTAAGGAGAATATATGCAAAAAGAGCTGAGGTGGTGCCCAACCCAACAAAAAGGCTAACTTGAACAGATTCCATTCTAAACAAGCCAATCCCATTTAGAAAGCAACACCCAGCCTAAAACTAATAACCAAAACCATTGATAAATATAAAGTATCAAATGACTTGTCTCGTGTGAAGCTTTAACCTAAGTTTCTTGATGCTTGCCTCGTGTGTATTGAGTCAATGATTTCGAGGACCAGTTCATGCTTCTCTTCATCAACCCCGACAAGTAGAGAGTAATCCATTACATTAGCTGATGCGAGAAAAGCTGTGTTATTCCGGACAGCTTCCGATCTCTAGCAGTCTCTTGGCTTTGTTTCCAACAAAAGATTGGAGGTGTTGGCACCTTAAGCTTGGTCTTGGTAAAAAAAAAACTCCTGCAAACTACAAGTAGGTATCAACCTTGTTGTCAAACCTGTTGCTCATCATCGAATGTACAACACGTCAACATTCATAGTAAGTAGCCAACGACAAGCAGATGCTTCATAAGAACCATCACCTATATATAGTCCCACACACTAGGTACTTGCAAAAACAAAAACGACCCATTTGCATATGACAAACATCTCCAAATGATCTGCTAAAAGCAAACTTAGATAGAGAAATGAAAGTCCTCAATTTACCAACACCCAACCCTCTAGAAAAAAGAAGTCATTTGAGTAGCAAGGGTATTTATCAGTCTAGGAGAGCATTGTACAATGAAAGCAATTAGATAGCCCAGCTCAATGCCAGCTACTTCTTACGTCTGCCATGTATAACTACCTCATATAACAAGTCTCTTTTGCTTCAATGGTGTTTGGGCATATAGATTTATAATTGTTTTTAGTTTAAAAAAAAAACTAGTTGATACATAAAAAGTGTCAAATTTCATGAGGAATGAGAGTAACGTAGTAATTTAGTTCCTAACAAACTCAAGTATGGATGTGAAATTGAAACTACCCAGAATCATATACTCCGTAATAATTTAAGGAGCTAGATTAGTGAAGAACGAATGACTTAAGCTGAAGAACTAGTTTGATTACTTATAAACCAAGAACAAAACAAAACAAGTTTGAGTGAATTCGGAGCCTTCTTCCTTCATAGAAGATAATTAGTTTGAGTAGTAGGAGAATTCCCAAAGATGCCTATGTAGTGAACCAGTTTCCCTCTAAACACACAAGCATTCTCTGAATACTACTCAAAATCACCTCTTAAACAAAAAAATTAGTACCTTGCTCCAAAAAATATCTCAAGGAATTAAAACATACTAGATTAAATCATAATGCAAACCAAAAGACATCAAACTCACGAAGACCTGCTAAAGAATGCAATTAAAAAACACCAATAGAAACAAGTATAAACACATCAAAACGTTTAGTATCACCAAGAACAATGACAGAAGAGGTACTGTCAAATTCATCCATCTCCTGCATGCAGTATAATGTTTGACAGTTCAGCCTTACCTGTGTAATCTAGACTAGTTAAAAACCAAAGTGGAGAAACATGCATATGAAGTCCATCCTACTACTATAAGCAGCTGGTTTAATGTCTGCTCTTTTTCATCATTGCTAACATGTTGCACATGAGTTAACAAAAGAGAGAGCATGTGTTAACAAAATAGTCTGAAGTTGCACATGTTGTAGGTGTAATACCCAGTGCTTCACATCTACAAAATCCAGGTTTTTAGTTTCTCGGTATAAGCATATAGTACAGTGGTGAAAGTGAAATTCTCAAACTGTGATTTTTTTTAAAAAAAAACTTAAGGCCTCGATTGGTACGCGGAATTCAAACTGTGGAATTGGAATTGAGAACGTCAATTCCAATTACAGTGTTTGGTTGCACAAAAATTATGAGGATTTGGAATTGATAGTGTAAAAAATGAATTGGAATTGGTGAATTCAATTCTATGGAATTGAATCCCATAGAATTTCAATTTCAATTCAATTCGAATTCCATCAATTCCGTATACCAAACGGATCATAAAAGTAAATCAATTCATCAAAACAATATGGTAAAAGTGGAGATATAATACTGAAATATAAGAAACAAAAAAGATTCGTACCTAGGTTTCAAATAATGAATTTAAAAACTGAATTCTTTGAACAACCAAAACACAACAAATAAAAAAGTTACTCCGTATTATCTAAAAACAAATTCAAATTAAAACACATTAAATCTCACACATAATTTGAATCATAGCATAAAGAAATAGGGAAAAAAGAGGCTGTTTCTTTTCCTGGAGCCAGCTGGAGTGGTCGCTGGCCAAGTAGAGAACAGTTAGCGTCTAGTTGGATGGATAGAAAGGTCGCTAGAGTCATCTTAGGAGAGAAACAAGGGGGCGGCAAGTAATAATGTATAAAAAAAATATACTCCCTCCGTCTCCAATTTGATTACAAATTGTGGGTTACGGAATAAAATTTCTTACTTTTTGAAATTATTTTATTTACAAATTGGTATATCAATAAGATATAAAAATTACATATTAAAAAACTACGTCAAAAGTTCTACAAAACAAGAGGTGACAAGAATATTTTATCAAATACTTAATGAAATCGCATAAACAAACAAAAGTTATCGAGAGGAGAGAAAAAAAATTGTAATCTATTTAGGGACGGAAGGAGTAAAATTCAATGGCATAATTTTTATATTTTTCAAGAAATGTTTAGAAATTGAAACTATGAAAATCAGACGCATAAGGCTAAACAAACGGAGCAGGAAACCTTTGGATTTCCACTCATAATCAATCACGTCCCTCGCCATCCTTAGTAAATGGGTTACAAAATTTACTTCATCAATTATAAAATTAATATTAATATATTAATTATTATATAATATAATTTAGATAATAAATAATTATTCACTCCTTCACCTCCCTTCACATTCTAGAATTTTTCATGCTCCCTATAAATAGTGAAAGAGAGGCTCATGACCACTTGAGAGAAAAAAAATAAAAATAAAGATTGAGAGTGTGAGTTTGTAAGAACAAAAAGGTCTGCGGCATTTTCGGGGGAGATAGAGAGAGACATGGGGTTGTTGTCTTAAAATCATCTTCGTCAAGGAGTTAGTATATGGTACATCCGGATGTACCTAGAGATGGGTACATCCATGTAGTACTCATTCTGAAATAAAGTAGTACTCATTCTCGCACAAGCATAATAGTTCATTTGAAAAATGTGATACTCATTCTGAAATATCGCAGTACTCATTCAGAAATAACGTCGTATTCATTTTCACAAATTTATTCAATATTCATTTACGTATAACATAATATTCATTCTAAAACACATTAGTACTCATTCTCATATAACCTAGTACTCAATCTTAAACAACCTAGCATTCATATCATATACTCCGTAATACTTAATAAACTGGAAATCGGGAAGAAAAATCTAGAGCAACTGGAATCGCGAAGAAAAAATCGGGAGCAACTGGAATCGCAATCAGATCTTCGCATATCCAAGAAGCAGCTATCGCTGATCAGACCTTCATCCTTCAATTGCCGATCGGACTTCCAAACAATCTCCATCTTCATCGTGAATCGCCGATTGGACCTTCGCGCAGCCTAGTAATCGCTGATCAATCGCGCAGCCTGCTTCTCCTTCATGGTCGGCCGTTCTTGCAGTGGCGTTTGCCCTAATTAGTTGCCGGATGTACGGTTCTTCCCGTACATCCGGATGTACGGTATAATTTGCGGTCGTCAAGCAATTGTTTCGTTTAGGTTGATACCAAAGGTGTGCCCATTGACCCTAAAGTTCAGATATATATTTCATGTTCTTATATTTTTGTGCATGTCATAGTTAAAATCCAAATATATCAATTATTAAAAACCAATACAGAAAAATGAGTGTGTACATAAGTATTCGGGTTCTTGGTGTTGTTCGCGGGTTATCTAGGTTGATGAAGTTGATTGTAACATTCTAAAATACACTCTAAAATTTAATAAAGAATTATAATAAATTATAATTCTAATTTTGATTTATATTAAAATAAGAAAATAGAAATGTTTGTGCTAAAAAATAAGTAATTTTCAAAGCTAGCTTTTTATAGTCCGATTTATACTTGAAATGAAGGACTTGGTGAGACAAGTTCAACAGCACATTTCGCCCGCAAATCTGAGTTACGAATCTCAATGACTTCACCGCCTCAAGAATGAAAAGATAATAAAATAAAAGAATAAAATACAAGTATGTCGTAGAGACAATATTATAAATTCCATTTTCTGTTGTTGGATAGGTTTCATGTAAAGATGAACAATGATATATTGTTTGTCAAGATTGGGATTATGTACAAAACGTTATGTGTAACACCCCAATCCATCTAGGTCTGCAACTCCTTTCGGACTAAAGTATTAACTTGGTAATGGTAAAAATTTAAAACACTTCTATTTATCATAATAATATTTTTCATAACAGAAACAGTAGGGAATTTTCAATATTGCAGAAGTTTAACAAATCACAATCACAAAACATAATTTATTTATCTCCTTTAATTTAAAACCATCACATCCATCCAAATTATCTCGTCTCCGTCTGTCTCCAGGATCACGTCACATCATTCTTTCTATTTACCTGCTTGTAGCAAATAAAATATACTATAAGCTCAGCGCTAAAGCTGAGTAAGGATATGTAATGCGTCGAACATCCATATAAATTGAATCTCAATTCATAATAAAATCATGCACATAATGTTCAATTCAAATATTTATCATTCATGATTTTGATATTGTTTAGTTCATATCAATACATTTTAATCTATCAAGATGTTCAACATTAATTATTTCAACAGTGTTCTTAAACTATTCTTAATCTAAGGCCAATAATAACAACGCTTTTAACTAGTCTTAGTCTAAGGCCAATAATGACAATGCTCTTAGCTATTCTTAGTCTAAGGCCAGATCATAACAATGTTCTTAAACTATTCTTAGTCTAAGGCCAAATCCACATTTTCATAACTAGACTTTTAAACTATGGCTAGTTTTTAGGCTATTTCATATTGTTAACCAGACTCTTAAACTATGATTAGTTTAAGGCTATATTATTTGAATAACCAGACTCTTAAATTGTGGTTAGTTTAAAGCAATTGATAACCACACTCTCAAACTGCAATTAGTTTAAGGTAAATATTCCCAGACTCTTAAACTGCAGTTAGCTTAAGGCAATAATAGAACAACAATTAATCATCTATGGGTCGGGTGGTATTTCTAAATGAGTAATCCTCTACTTTCTTCTCTCCGGCAATGGTTGAACAAGTTCGGGTGTTCAATATTAGAGAAGAAGAGAGGGAGAGAAGAAAGTAACAGAAGGAAGAAATCGAAGTAATGGAAAACGACTTTGATATGTTACCGGAATTCAAACGTATGATTTTCGAAAGTAGAAAAAAAGATATCAATGTTGAATATAATTTGCCTTATTTTTTTTAATGTATTTTTTTATTAAATGTTCTTTTTATTGAATGTAATTTTTATGAAATATTATCATTTATTTTTTTTTATTTAATGAATGTAATTTTTTATGAAATATCCTTATTTCAATTTAATTAAAAGTTTAAAGCCTCATTTTGAAAGTTGTGGGCTTCAAACTCATTTCGATAAGTTAAACAAGCTAGAAAGGTTGAAGTCCTCCAAGTATTTCCCGTGGTATTAAATTTACTCAGTATCCGGTAATACGTATACAGTAAGTGCAGTTACTAAAAACTCCACATCCTAAAACCGCGTATGAAATTATTGAGACTTCTCCCAAGAAGAATGCCAATCCCCTCTTCCAAGGAGAATCAATCTTGATCGGTAGTTCTCAGAATTGCGGATTTGAATGCTATTAATAGTGCGCTTAAACGATCGATAACGCGAATTGAGGGCGATTGGAGAGAGCTGGCGGCTATGGGCGGAGTGAAGCTGGCGGCTCTGGTGCTTCTCACGGTGCTGTCAATTTCATCGGCCGCAGAGAAATTTTGGAAATCCGGACGAGTTTCTTCTTCTTCTCCGTCTTCTATTGTCCTCCCACTGCACGGCGATGTTTATCCCAATGGGTATGCGATTCTTCGCTTTGGATTTCAGTATATGTGAATTTTTTTAGTACATTGATTATTGTATTTCGAGCTGTGACTCTCTGATGCTAATGGCTGTAGATTATTGCTCATTATATATGCATATTTCGTTATCCTTTATGCTGTAGTTTTTTTTATAATTTATACTCATACTAGAAATGACCTTGTGTTCTTTGACATTACTGAAAAGTTTTTAAGTTAGCCCATAAGTGTACTGATAATGAGGTATTGGAAGAAATGGACTGGTAGCAGTAGTAGCGTAATACTTTTTCCACCCTGTTTGACTATCAATTTAATATTCTGGAGTAATACTTTTAACTATTGCATATCTAATGGGACAAAATCTGCAATCAGTTGATTGGGGTTAAAATGTTTATTGCAGCTATTATTTTGCTCAAGTCTTTGTAGGGAGGCCGCCAAAGCCCTATTTTCTTGATCCCGACACTGGCAGTGATCTCACGTGGCTTCAGTGTGATGCTCCCTGTAGTCGTTGCATGAAGGTAACTGTTTTTATCACTCATTCCTTATACGATTTTTCCTCTAGTAACAATGTTATGTCTTAGTTAGAGACTACAGAGTATTTCATAATAATATGGAGTAATTCATTATTACATAATTGTATCCACTTTTCTATGTGTGTGTGTGTGTATACTAATCGTGTAATTGCAGACGCTTCACCCGCTATACAAGCCCAATAATGACCTTGTCGGTTGTAAAGACCCTCTCTGCACGTCATTGCAGTCAATTGAACACAAATGTGAGACTCTAGAACAATGTGACTATGAGGTTCAGTATGCAGATGGTGCTTCTACCCTCGGCGTCCTGCTTACGGATGCTTTTTCCTTCCATCTCACTAACGGGATTGAGATTGAACCTACTCTAGCTATTGGGTCAGTGTTTTCCCCCCTTTCTATGTTACACTTTTTTTCTCTAAAGGTGGTCTTCATTTCTCTTTTAAAAACTTAAAATGCTCCCTTCTAGCTAATGTGGTGATTGTGTCTTTGTGTAGAATGCATTATGACTTATGAGTTATGAGTATGGATAAAGTGATATAGTCAATTAGTCATAGAATAGAAAGCACTAGATTTAGGGAAAAGAGCTTTTGTTGTAGCCTTATATTCTTGAATATTAATATTTCAAATTTTAATGGTATTTAAACATTTCTTTTTAGTTTCTCTTCATTAACATGCACACCTAGTTTTTGTTAGAAGTACAACATGTACATAGAATTTTGTAAGTATATATGTGATTAGCGAGGTTTTCCTTGTCTCACAAACAAAAACAACATTACCCCTGTGCCTCAAAGGCTCCCGCCCATTGCATGGTTGGGGGGGGGGGGTTAGATGTAAGGTTTTCATTTTCTCAAACATCTGATAAAACAAGACGGCATTCTCTTTGTTAGACATAATTGTTCTATGCTATTTGCATGGCTTTCTAGAAGTGGCTGTTTGATATTTGGATAGTTTTCCATTTGTATCTTTGACTTTAAATGTAAATAACTCCTCCAAGATTCATTTTCAACAAAGAAATAGTCAGTCCAACATTTATACTGACCTTACATTTTTTTGCGGTTTTAGATGTGGATATGACCAGGTAGCTGGTCACTCTTACCATCCTGTAGATGGAGTACTTGGACTAGGGAAAGGACCCACCAGCATTTTGTCACAGCTTAAGAAAATGGGTCTGGTGCGTAATGTTGTTGGCCATTGCTTGAGTGGGAAAGGAGGATATCTCTTCTTTGGCGATCAAGTCTATGATGCTTCACAAGTAGTTTGGGCTCCAATGTTGCGTGATTACCAGTAATATGTTTGCTCTTTCTCATACAACTCAACTACACCTGATTTAGATTACAAAATGAACTGTTAAAATGGAAAACATAGTTTGTAAGGATCGCCTAGGCGATAAGGCAGTGTCCCTTGGACACCTACTCTGCTCGCCTCGCCCAGAAAACCTTAAGGCGTTCAGGCGCTCATCTAGGCGTCGCCTTAAAACGCCTTATGTCGCCTTACATCGCCTTACTCTCGCCTTGACGCCTTGGCCCCTATAAATTTTTTAAAAGCCCAATTTTTATTAGTGCAGCCCAATTAATTTGATTTTTGAAAGCCTAATTTTAAATGTTTAAAAAGATTTGACTTAAACTTGTGACCTACGATATATAATATATATATGTATACATACATACATACATACATATATATATATATATACACACATATACATATACACACACACACACTCCCTCTGTCCAAAAATTATCTTCCCGTTCACTATTCACTTGGTCAAACTTTACTAACATTGTTGGCCTATTTTCGTTGCTTATTTGATAAAATAATATAGCCATGTCACTTTTAGTTTTGTAGATCTTTTGATGTAGTTTTTATATACATAATTTTTATTTTTAAATTCTACATCATTTTTCATATACAATGATTTGAAAATAACCTCAGTCAAAGATCGTAACGCGTAACGGGAAGATAATTTTTGGACAGAGGAATTTTATACACACACACACACACATACATCCTATATGTGTGTGTGTGTCTATATATATATATATATATATATATATATATATATATATATATATAGGTGTTGCTAAATGCACTCCTATTTTGGCTAAATCCACCCCATTTATGATGAATTGACAATTTTGCCTTAAAAATACAAAATACAAAAGAGGGAGTTTAGATGCAAACCAACTTTTAAGGGTAAAATTGTCAATTCATCATAAATGGGGTGGATTTAGCCAAAAAGGGAGTGGATATAGCAATACCCTATATATAATAACTATGATGGAAAATGTGGACATGACACACACAGCCCTTTATTTTATATTTTAATTAATTTGTATAATTTGGTTTAGCTCTCAGAGAGCTGACTACCAGTGATACATGACAGGAAGCACTACTCGCCAGGATATGCAGAGCTGATTTTTTATGGTATTCGTACAGAGGTTAAGAGTTTTCGTGTGATCTTTGACAGTGGGAGTTCTTATAGCTATCTGCATTTTGAGCCATACCAAGCTTTAGTTTCTTTGGTGAGCTGCAGATTATTTATTTAGTTCCTACATGATAACCTCTGAATGTTTTTTGGTGATATAGACTAGTATTTATTAGAGTGTAAAGATTAACTACTACCTCTGTTCCATAGGAGTTTCCCAGCATTGACTGGCACACATGATAAGGAGAATAAATGTTCTTTTAAATGGACACTCATGCCCTGCAATGAAAAGTGTATTACTAAAGTAAATAAAAAGTAACTTGATAGGTTTTTTGGGACAGATGATACAATGGTCTTTTTATGCTTATGTCATGACTTAAATTGGGAAGCGGAAAAAGGTTTGTTTTTGGGGACAGCCAGATAGGGAACATTGGAAAACTTCAGCGCAACGGGTGGAGTATCATACATTGAGTCTGTGTATAGTATCTTACAAGTGATTCACCTTTACTTCTATTAGTGTTTTGTTTTGTACGAGTGTATGACCTTTATTTCATTTCTGCATACAGGTGGAGAAAGGACTAAGTAGCAAGCCCTTGAGAAGAGCGGACGATGACGATACTCTACCACTGTGCTGGAAGGGAAAGAAGCCTTTCAAAAGTGTACAGGATGTCAAGCAATACTTCAAACCTTTTGCACTGAACTTTTCCAATGGACGGAAGGCCAAATCTCAACTTGAAATCTCCCCAGAATCATATCTTATCATATCAGTAAGTGTTCTTCAACATCATTTTTATTGTTTTCTGTTTGATTGTAATCCATTTTACTGCGAATTTAGTTTGAATTTTGAAACTCATTTGCAGTCTAAAGGCAGTGTGTGTTTGGGGGTGCTAAACGGTACCGAAGCAGGTCTAGATGATATTAACATAATCGGAGGTAATATTGGATTACATGGCATAATAATGCTAATATATTTATCCCGACTTTAGCTATTATACTTCCGTTTTGGTTGTGTTTTTTTTCCAGATATATCAATGCAAGATAAAATGGTGATTTATGACAATGAGAAGAATTCAATAGGATGGATCCCTGCAAAGTGTGTTCAGCCATCAAAATCACCCAATTCTGAGATGTAAATAGAGATAATCAACTTCTTATTTGTCGACTTGAAGTGCAGTATTATTTACTTATAAAGTAATAGTATAAAAGATGAACTACGCCCAAAGCTTACTTTATACAGAGAATCTTCAACTTTTTTGCATTGGGCCCACTCTATGTACACATTGTCATGTGATTCCAATTATTCCTTTTGTTTTTAATAGAATGGAGTGAATTTTGAGAATGCTAGATGTTTTGTGACACCATTGCACTGGGCTATCAAATTTCTAACTTTAATCATTTTACTGCCTCTCTCTCTTGAAAGTTTGATGAGTAACAGGGTGACCCATTTCTATGTAGCCCTCAATTTCAGAATCAAGCTACACATCAAGAACTTTAGGAATTGTGCTTTCATAGAACATTCCGCAGCAAACCTCCTGTCTGGCAATTGAAAGGCAATTCTTTTCCTCTGCTCAATCTTCATTTTTCCACCTTTTTTAAACTCGGCCCTTTTGTATCAGGTACCAGCCACTACATTTGGTGGTTCATCCTCTGCATCCTGTTCTGTTATTTATATTAGGAGTTTACTTGATTTCTCTGTAACATTTAGCTGGTAACCTGGTCATCTCTTTTAAACAATCTGGTTCAAGAAATGAAGATTAGCCAGATCTCATATACCCCGGAGTAGTTAAAATCCTAATGCATTGGGGCGATTCAAGTATTTGCAATTCTGTTACTATCCTCTTCCTACTTGATCATGATTTAGCTTTTTGATGATTTGGCATTTAGCGAGATAAAGAGTAAACATGGTTTCTTTGGGGGGTGCTGGGTGACTGAATGAAATATAGACCGTTTAAAGTATGTTTCAAGATATCAGCTACTGATCTTAAAGTTTTGCTTAATTGATACAGGTCTAATGGGCAACTCCTTGCTTCTTACCAGTGATGTGTGGTGATGGAATATGTATATGATACCATGGGGTTGCTATTAGAATGGTCATCTTCTACATGAATAAGACTCAACTTTTGTTGGGTATGATCACTGTCTTTCCATTAGTATATGTTGTAAAGATAAACCATTTCCTTTTTTTTATTATTCCCTTCCCTTTCAAAATTTGTAGTTTCTCTTGTATTTGCATGAGTCTTAAGAAAAAGCAAGGTGAAGGAAGAAAATGTGTACTGGGAAATGAAAAATGTGAGTTGAGAGACGAAAAGATGGAGAGAACTGAAAATTTTAGACCAGAGAGAAGAAATAGGTGACATTAGAGAATGATTAAAGTATTCGAAGGCTTTAGGGCCTGTTTACTGAGCAAAATATGGTTGATAAGATATTAGTTTTGAAATTGCGATGAAATGATGTGAATTTTAAAATATGAAATAAAATTGTTAATATGATATGATTGTTAGTGACAAGGCGGGGTGGGTGGCCACTAACAGTGAGTAGAGGGTTCCCGAGTCATAACATGTAGATGTGAAGGATGTCACAACACTAAGCAGCATCAAATCCATCAATACATACCCGAATCAGACAACGTCTCCGACGCAATATAAATACATAGCCCAACCCCCCCCCCCCCCCCCCCCAAACACACACAGAGAACATAGTATCAACAGAAGTTGAAAGGGGATGATGACTTGTTTGGCATGAAGAAGATGTCTTGTTGGAAGGGGTTTAAAGGGTCGATATACTGCTGTGGCATTTGCGAGGAGAGAGGGTGGCTTCTTAGAAAGGCATCCAGATTGTTATTGTTGTTGGTGCTGTTGAGTAAGTGGAGGAAATGGAGGTCTTCGTCGATGTCCCACTTGGGGGCGGCGCTTTGGATCTCCTTGTCACAGGATGACTGTATTTGCTCCGAGCAGCAGCTTGAGACTCCCGTCCTCTGCCACTTCGGCACCGCATCGTTCTGAAGTGGCAAAGGGCTCATGGTTCTCGGCTTTTGATCCGGGAATTTGACTTCATTTTGGTCCCTGCTACTTCCGCAATTCGGGTACTTCTCCAGGGTGCCTTTCTTGTTGTATATTCGACACAACACCCACTCATCCAGCTGCTGATGCACAAAATCAAAATTGGTTTAATTTTGTTCACAAACCACAATCAATAATGTTTCTATTCTCTCCGCCCCAAAAAAATTGCTTGTTATTTACGAGGTTTGATTGAAATTATTTTCAATTTTATTTACTTAAAAGTTGATAAAGAATTAAAATAAGAACTACATCAAAAATTATGCAAAATAAAAGATGATAAAACTAAATATTTTTTCAATTGACTCTCGAAAATGAGTCGTGAAAATTTAACCTAGTAAGAGGTGAACAGACAATTTAGGAGGATGGGAGTACATATGTTTATAAGAAAGAGATAAAAAAAGACTCACTCTCAAGTTGTTTCTCTTGGCGGCGGATGAGCGGTCAACGTTTGCCAGCCTGTACTCGTGCATAATCCAATTGGTCTTCAACCCTTTGGGGGCTTTCCCGGCGTAGAAAACTAGAGCCTTTTTTATCCCCAACGTTTTTGGTTTGCCGACGGGCTTGTCGGCTCCGGTAGCCTTCCAATACCCGGTCCCGGCGGCCCGGTTAGGCCGTGAACCGTTCGGGTACTTCCGGTCCCTCGGGGTGAAGAAGTACCACTCTTTTTCACCGTACAAAGCCATCCCTGCGTTGCAATTAAAGATTATACTTGCCCTCTCTCTCTCTCTCTCTCAATCATAAAAATGAAGAAGAAAGAAGTTGAAGGAATGATAATAATACAATAAGGTTAATTGGGTACCGGGAAGCTGCCACGGGTCGAACTTGTAGAGATCAAGGTCGGCGATGATGGGCACGCCGAGGGACAGGGAGGCGCATTTCCGGCAAAGATAGTGAGCAACCAGCTCCTCGTCCGTCGGGTGGAACCGGAAACCGGGAGGTAACGCCAACTGCGTCTGCAAAACCCCGCCGTCTCCTTTCATCTCTCTGCTTCCAATTTTCTACGCAGGAATTGGTGGATGATGATGAAGAAGAAGCGGAGTCATATAGACTAGTATTTATAAGCACTGCACTGCACTGCACACACGTGGGGCAATTCACCGGTCCGGTTCGGGCATGGCTGACCGCCGCCAGTGGAAAGGGCCACGCAGGACGAGTGGGGGCGTTTTATGACGGCTTCCGTCACCAATTTGGACGGATTTGTCGGGGGACGAAAAGTGGGATGTGAAAAGGGAAAGGCGCAGTAGTCGTCGGCGGTATTGGCGATGGGCGATGGATCTTCTCTGTATCAGTATTTTGTCTGCTGTCGCGTCAAACTGCTTCGTGTCTCTTTTGACAGCAATTTTTGGGGTTAAAAAACGGTTTGCTCCCAGACCCGGTGTCCCCTATATTGATTATTCACCTTTAACACCCCGCAATCATGTTTGTGCGTAATAATGCCGACTGAGGAATGTTATCTTTTGGTTTATGGGCAAGGTTCCCATGACATTGGGAACCAAGGTGTTGGTTTATTAGTGGATAGAAAGTAAAGACAGTAAAATAAATCCTTTAATATAATATTTTAGATTCGGATAGCCAGAACTTACACGTGGAATGTCTATGTAGAGTCATTTTTGACACGTCGATGATGACTGTACACATTAGTTAGATCTAAAATTATTCCTAAAATAAAGACATCATGTATGGGAACTTTATTTATAATCATTGACCATTTTTAGCTAGCATTTTATGGTAACTTTTAAAACATGATATTTGTACATTTGAAAAGTTTAAACTAATATACTTGATATTCCAAAAGAAATTACTTCCTTTAAATTCATTTAACTTACTCATATCTTATTAAAATTAAAATCAATCTTTTAATTAAAACTTAAAAATTACTTCCTTAAAATTGTAATACTTTATTCTACTAATTTATGAAGATATCACGCTAAATAAAAGTAAAATATAAAGAATGTACCGAAATAGAAGCTACACGCTTTTATCCAAAAAAATAGGAGTACGAATTGTGATATGGACGATTCACAATATATTTTTGTATTATATATTGGCATGACTGACATTGTATATGTATTTTAATTCCTAATTTGAGAATAAAAATATGCAACTTCTATTTTGGTATATATTTTCTATAATTTATTCATACTTGAGTCTTTTTTCCTAATTTATACTCAGTATTTTTATGTGAAATTTGCACTAAATAAGACTAAAACATAATGACTTTCCTAATGTAGGACTTAAACATTTTTATTCTCTAAATAGGACTTAATAATGACCTAGTGGAATGAAAAATGTCATGTAATCATGAACATTTAGTTGAATAATGACTATTTGATAATGACCAAAGGTCCTAGATTGGGAAATAAAAACATATGGTCCTATATTGGAAAAGTCATTATGTTTTAGTCCTATTTAGATAAATTTCTCTATTTTTATAAGTACGTACTACTCTGTATATAAATAAAAAAATCAATTTTTATAGTTACAACTTTTGAGATGTTACTTTTTTTCGAAAAGCATTCATATGATATTAAAAATAAAATGCGGATCACCTAATTAAAAAGAAAATTTTCACAAGAGACACTTTATGATTTGGTGCATTTCATATTTTTTTCCAAATAAATACAATTTCCTTAAATATATAATAAAGAATGTAAGCAAAGAATCTATCAAGATTCGATTTTTTTACTAAAATATAAAGTTTTATATACCCATTAAAGGATACACACACACATATTATATATATATATATATATATATATATATATATATATATATATATATATATATATATATATATATATATATATATAGCCAGTTCCCGTAAGAATGCACTTGCGAAGAGAAATGAGAATAAAATCTAGTCGTTGGATCTGATGCATCGTGCGGCTCAAATTGCATCTTGGGCTCAGATTTTGAGATAGTGCATTTTCAAAGGATTTTGGTACATTTCGACGTGATACATTTTCAAACCATTTTGGTGCATCTAATTTTGATGCAATCCCGACCCTTAGATTCCACAATCAAAAGCACCAGATTCATTCTCATTTCTCTCCTAAGATCGCATTCTCACCATAATCAAATTCTATATGTGTGTGTGTGTGTGTGTGTATAAACTAAAATTGATGTTTAAAACCTTCTAATGGAAGTTATAGAATTAAAAATATTAACCATATTAATCTTGAAAAATATTCTGCAATAATATTTTTTAATATAATATAGAAAAGTAAAAATTATCTAATTTAATATCTGTTCTTTTAATGTGTTCTTTTAGATTTGAAAACAAGAGTTATATGTTGAAAGAAACCGGAATAAGTTGCAAAAAATATAAAAAGAGTAAGAAAAAACTAAAAAATTAGAAGAAAGTAAAAAGAGTTAGAAGTTCGAAAAAATTAAAAGGAGTTGAAATGAATAATTGTTTGATAAAATAAGTTATACTAACATATATTTTGAAAGGAGTTAAAATATAATCCTAACATAATGATAAAATATTTGTATATTTATTCTTAAAAATAGTTATATAAGGAGTTATTTTTTATTCTTGACATTGTTTTCAGATGAAAAGTCTATTAAAAAGTTACATAAACAACTAGATAACATACTCCGTACTAAATTAGAAATTTAAGGGAAATTTGACATAGATTATAATTAATAATATTTATTTAATTATTTCCAAAGAATTTCATTCTTTATATATTATATAGAACTAAAATTAATATTTAAACTCTTCTCATGGAAGTCATCTATTATAGAAAAGTAAAATTTATCTAATTTAGCATCTCTTGAAAAGAAGAGTTAGATATTGATTTTTTTTTTAAAAAAGTTAGAAAAAACTAGCAAGAGTTACAAGTTTGAAAATATTGAAAGGAGTTGAAATGAATATTTTTTTAATTAAAATAAGTTATGCCTATTGTTTTAAGTTTCATTTCTTTTTATTTTTTTGTTATATATCCTATTATTTTTTGTCTTAGACCTTATTTAGGCCATGTTTCGTTCAACTTATTTTTTCTTATTCTTATTAAAATTAGATCGGATCAGATCAGATCAGATCGAATCAGATCAGATCAGATCAAACCAGATCAGATCAGATCGAATCAGATCAGATCAGATCAAACCAGATCAGATCAGAACCCATCAAGAATTATTATTATTACTATTATTATTATTAAAAATGAAAAAGAATAAACTTTTGAAACAAGTTAAATAGAAAAATGCGAAAGTAATCCTTAATTATTAGACGTCGTAAAAATTATTTTTAAAGTACATTGACAATGTCAATCTAATTCTACTTTTAAAATACATTTTTATTACTACTTGTAATTTGAGTTTCTAAAGTTTTGATCTTTTATAATGATGAGATATTTTAATAAAAATACAATCTCTTCACAATATATTTTTGTATTATATATTGGCATGACGGACTTCCTATATATATTAACTCCTAATTTGGGAATAAAAATATGTAACTTCTATATTGGTATATTTTCTATAATTTATTCATACTTGAGTCTTTTTTCCTAATTTATACTCAGTATTTTTATAAGTACGTACTACTCTGTATATAAATAAAATCATTCAATTTTTTTATCGTATTAAAATTACTTCCTTTAAATTCATTTAACTTACTCATATCGTATTAAAATTAAAATCAATTTTTTAATTAAAACTTAAAAATTACTTCCTTAAAATTGTAATACTTATTCTACTAATTTATGAAGATATCACGCTAAATAAAAGTAAAATATAAAGAATGTACCGAAATAGAAGCTTCACGTAATAATAATAATAATAATAATAATAATAATAATAATAATAGTCCCGTAACACTCTCCCCGCCTCGAAAACCAACTTGTCCTCAAGTTGGAAATCTACAAAAAACGAGGAATCGTGTGTTAGGAGCGAACATCCTCCGGGGTCAAAGACCTTTATGAATGGAGCATCAAAAGATTCGGCCAAGCTCAAAGCATTCACAACTCCTAACAAACAACTCTAGAGATCCAATGAGAAGAAAATTTTGCCAGCACGCGTGACATCCCTAGAATCATAAAGGACAACGTCACTTTCTGACATCCCAAATGTTTCCGTGCATCCATAAAAAATAATACCATTGCTTGAATATTTTGCTTGGATAGTGGGGTCTCGTTGATCGTCACCAATAACATCAACAATGGCAACAGGAACAACATCTATGGGATCTATCATAAGATCATCATCAGGAACACCAACAGGATCAATAAAAGTTTCCTTTTTTGAATTCCTGGTCCTGCAAAGTTGTGTTTTGCACAGGTACAGGAAGGGCCGACTATCGTGGAGTGCCGATGAGTTTCTTAATAGAGCGCATCATGGTTGTTTTGAAAATGTATAACTTTATAGGAATCAGGCTTGGCATAATTGGGAGACCACGAACTAAATCTTGTATTGAGCAAAAGGCCTCTACGGAGAACGCATATACCTCGGAATCAAATTTTGGTTGACCTCTAATTGGACGGAATGCCTGAAGTTTCTTTATAATTTCATCCACGGAATCTTCAACTGCACACACGCCTTCATAAAATTCAATTTGTCCCGGTAGAACTTTCTCGAGTAAACCAAGAACTTTGTCCAACAGATAATCCATTGCGTGTACCGTAGATTTTTTTTTATATTTTTTGGGCGAGTTCAAGAATGAAAGCACCAATTGATACAGTATCGTATCGGGATAGGGAAGGATTTTGAGCACCTTCGAGCTCCAAGAATAAAAGAGGCGAGAAAGAGAGAGATCAAGGTTTAGGAGAAAGTATTTTCTTTATTCATTCATTGATAAAACTATGGTGATGGATACATTTATAGGCTCCAACTCTAGAGAATCTGAATAGTAAATGGTAACTAAATAATTAATAATCCCAATTATAAAAGGTAACTAAATAAACTAGGAAACTAATTAATCACCTAACAAATATAATATTTCCTAATAATAGTTAACTAACTATAAATAATTCCTTACCATAATAATAATAATAATAATAATAATAATAATAATAATAATAATAATAATAATAATAATAATAATAATAGTCCCGTAACAGTTCTTTGCTTTGTTCATGAAATGAGAGGACTCGGGGAGTGAGTAAGAAAATATACATTCGTCCAAAGCAAATAAAATCATTTTCTCCTTTTTGAGTTGAAAATATTTGTCCTCAAAATATTTTTACTACTTATATAACCAAACATAGGAAATTAAATTAAAATTTTCTGAAAATTTATTTTTCTCTCCACGAAAGAG